CATTTTTTAACAAAAAAATGTGAAAACCAAAACAGTATAAAAACCATATCAATGTCAAAATCAACAAAAAACAGAAAAAAGTTACGGATGACTCTTAGAACCTTAAAATCAACATGTAGAGAACTGAACGCCAACAAGAGTGGAAAAGATTATACATAGGCACAATCCAGTTACTTAAAAGTCAAAAATTAATCGATAAAAAATGACAACAATGAAGTTCAAATATAGAATACAAAGTCCGATCTCGTACATGGACAATAAACCCAAATGGAACAGAAGTTGTCAAAGCCAATCCATTTAACTAAAGGGTTGGGTTCCGCTATGAATAAGAGTTATAYTGAGAAGGTGAGAACAAAACATTCATATACTTCATCCACATCCAACTACTTCTAGTTGCCTTTTTTATCATCATGACCAAAGGCTCAATAGTGTTCTCACCATAACTCTTGTCCTCACACGATCCCTCATCTTTAACTGAATATGTCAAAACCAAGATAGTATAAAAGTGAAAATTACAAAAAATTTCTGCATGTACATAACCCCTTTACTTGAAAAGTTATTAAAACCGTATGACGATCAAAATTAACAAAAAATAGAAAAGTTTATGGATAACTTTTAGAACCTCAAAATCAAACAAGCAGGGAAGTGAACAACTTGAAAAGACAAAATGCTTCGTTAAAAAACTAAATAACAGACATAAAATGAATAAAGCTAAAAACCAATCCAGTTAACTAAAATTGTTGAAACCATAATGGTATAAAAGTCAAAATCTCAAAAATTGAAAAGGACACAATGATATTTCTTAATAAGTTGAATATAAGGCACAATTCAATTACTGAAAAGGGTCAAAATTATACCTCAGGAGAGCTCTGAACCGGTTAATCATCCACTTTCTAGAAATCCACACAAACCAGCATCAATCATCATGCTACCTCGGAACTTAGAAGCTTTAGATTAGTTGGAGATCCTATTGAAAAGACAAAATGTATTCCACACAAAGATACTTGTAGAAAAGATGAAAAGAGGACAAACCAAAGGTATAAAGCTACCATCAAACGTGACTGGACCATCTGATTGAGGATAAAAGCACATTTGCTGTTAGTAAGTTCCATTAAAAGATTAGTGCATGGACACAACGCGTTACTTCAAAAGTTAAATATATAAACTGGGTGAGGTCAAAATAACCAAAAACTAGAAAAGGTTACGGGACGACCATTAGAACCTCAAATTCAAACAGCAGGGAAATCAACAACTTGAAAAGTCAAAATTATTCAATAAAAAGTCAACAATGTAGTTCGAATTTGAAATACTATGTTAGATACCCTTGCATGGAAAATGAACGCATATTTATTTTAAAACCAATCCATTTAACTAAAAACACGAAAACTTATGTATTGTAAATGTCCAAAATGAAAAGGTCCGTGCATAGACACTACCATATGTTAATTGTAGAAACCGTATGAAGGTCGAAATCAACAAAAACATAAATTGTTATGGTTGACTCTCAGAACCTCAAAATCAAATAAGTAGAAAAAGGACAATAAGAGTGAAAAAGATTTTGCATAGGGCACAATCCAAATACTTAAAAGTCAAAATTAATTGATAAAAAATGACAACAATAAAGTTCAAATATAAAATACAATGTTCGATTTTGTACATGGACAATAAACCCAAACGGAACAAAAGTCAAAATCAATCCATTTAACTACACATGTCAAAACCAAAATAGTATAAAAGTCAAAATCTACAAAAATGAAAAGATCGTGCCCGAACACAACCCCATTACTTCAAAAGTGAATTACAAAAACTGTATGAAGGTCAAAATCAATAGAAACTAGGTTAATTGTAGAAACCGTATGAAAGTCGAAATCAACCAAAACATAAATTGTTATGGTTGACTCTCAGAACCTCAAAATCAAATAAGTAGAATTGAATTGTTGCATTAGAAAAGTACTTGTATTCAAAAGGGAATTATGAACCTAGGACTAGCTGCCTCTTATCTTCCACTTCCTGGGAAATTCCAACTGGCAAGGGATATGATTAAAAATTTAGGTCAATGTGAACAAATAAAGAAGTAAATTATCATGATACTAAACCTAGAGCCAAAGACCAGGAGAGAACGCACACCATAGTGTAAAATTATAACCAAAACTGGTGGCACTTGGGAACATATCTGATGAGATACAGGATTCTTTTCAGTGTCATTTCCCTGTACTTGGAACCAGTCAAGGGCAGTAAATCATCCTCTATATAGAAATCCAAGAACCCAGCGTCAATCAGCATGCTACCTCTGGAAGCTTGTCATTAGTTGAAGGTCCTAAATAAGATGCTTCCTTTGATGGAAAAGATAAAACATATAACATCATACCTATTCAACACAGGATACTTCTTGAAAAGATGAGGAGAGATGGGGAGAGGACAACCCAAGGGTCTGAACTCTAAAGTTGATGCGCATAACATGCAACAATACATGTAGAAGTGCATGTGTGCAATTCGTAAAGGGAAAAAACGAGAGTGACCTTCACTAAGATTTTTCCTGTCAAGAATATGGTACTTAATACCATGACGATTTCAAGAAACCATGAAATCAGATGGTCAAAACAAGTAATGACATACAATAATTCATGCAGAAGTGAATGTGTGTACGCTCATGAGGGACAGAAAGTGACGGATAATATACTTTGTCAAGAATACAGCACATAATTAAAACCATCTTTATGCTCTTTTCTTGATGAAATATATCATCAGAAACGCCAAATACCCCGGTTATAGAAAAAGAAGATACTATCATAATGCACCCCTCATTACCCTTTTGTCATGACCTGTATATGATCAACACCATAGATCCTGACAACCCTTTTATTAACACACACAAATGATTCACCAATTGTTCAATAGATGAACACAATTTCAGTAGATCCAGATTCATCTAAACCCAATTAGTGAAGCAGCATATCATCAAACACCTGTTGTACACAACAAAAGTTATTTTTTCTAACCTCTTCTGTCTTCTYTGAACATATGTTGTTATATCAATGCGTCTTCTTGAGGGCTTGACGTCACTRTTTTCTTCATCTTCAAACATCTATCAACACKGGATTTGACGCGGCATTCTTGAAATTAGAAAACGAAAATTTTCAGCAATATTCTTGCGAACTGATTGATTCAAACACATAAAATTAGTATTTAATGAATTTTTTTCCAAAACAAAGAATCAAATGTTCTTTGACCTCGAATTCTTGCATTAATGAAACCATGGGCGTGTCTCCATGTTGTAGTTGCGTTCTCCAAATGGATCGATATCTTCAACTGATTTGGGAGATAATGTATCCGTGATTATTGGAATTAGTAATTATCCGCATTTCACAATATTGCATCTTCAGTACCGCGCCATTTCACAATTTCGTCTTCCAAATTTACCCTTAAATTGACATTCTCATAGAACCCAATTGTGTAACTTTTGGGTTAGGTTCCGTACGAGATGTGACAGAAGATCTCCAAGATTTTATCAATTCTAATTGAAGATCAACACAAATAATATTTATCATATCAATTTTATGACAAATGAAAATTATGAGATTGAAAAAGATCAATTGTTCAGATCTTTTCTCACGCTTATAGTCTTTTAACTCACATCTTCACACAATAGGTGTTGGGTTAAGTCTCGCAACGAGCGCAACCTTCGTGTTTAGTTGTCATCATTGAGTTTGAAACCCTGAACAGACTGATGGTGATAAGCCAGAGGAAGGTGAGGATGACGTCAAGTCATCATGCCCCTTATGCCTTGGGCGACACACATGCTACAATGGTCAGGACAAAGGGTCGCGATCCCGCGAGGGTGAGCTAACTCCAAAAACCCGTCGTCTATAACTTTCTCTCTCACTCAGACGATCAATTTTTCAGTTAGGATTGTTTGGTATTTGTTGAATGGTTTGGTGCAGAATGATTAAGTGGTCAGAATGATTAAGAGGTTTAATGATATAGTGCAAAACGAAATAGAATTATTTGATAATTGTTTACAATGAAATAAATAGTTGAATGGTTAAAGGAGGCCTATGATACAAAATCATTCAGAAAGTTTTAGAACCGTTAAGAGAAAAAAAAATTGCTAAACAAGATTCACCTTTTAACGATTCAAATGTTGGCTCTTAAATAAATTATTAAGAGATAAACAAACAACCCTCTAGTATATATATATATATATATATATATATATATGGCTGGTTCGAATGTTAACCAAGATTATTGTGTTAACTTTGGTAGGGCGGGACGATGGAGATGGTGGTGGGGTGTTAGCTGTGACAATGACAATAGTGGGATGGTGGTCGGTGACTGGGAGTGGGTGGGTATGACGACGATAGAAGTGGCATGGTGGTTCATGGTAGGGTAGGGTGAATAGCAGTTGTAACAGCGACAATAATGGTGTGGTGCTGGGGGTTAAGTTAGGGGCGGGACACTAATGGTAGTAGCATGGTCATAGTAAGGATGTGCAGTGAATGATCAAGAGGTGGGTGGGTGTGATGACAACAATAGTGGCATGGTAGTTAATAGTGGGGTGGGTGGGTGGGTGGCGGCGACAGTAGTGATATGGTAGGGGGAGGTTAAGATTGAGGCATGACGAACAATAGTAGCATGGTCATGGTGGGTAATGATAAAATTCAATTCCTTCCATTATAGCAAGGAATGATGAATATATTTGTGAAATTCAATGAAATTTAAAGGATTACATACATTTCAAAAAATAAACCAAACAAAAGAATTTGAATTTAATCAAAGGAATTCGTCATTGCAATTCAATCTAATTTCGCAAACCAATCCGCCCCTTAGAACCTACTATTTTACAAAGTATTCATAATCAAATCAACCATAAATATCATGCATTTTCACTCCGCATACATTATGAAGATCCATCATGAATAGTTGATTATTAGATTCTCAAAACATTTATGATTACTACGAATACTGAATTTAAAGACCTTGATTTTTTCCACAAGCATGAGGAAAAAAAGAAAATCATCAAAAAAGAGGGAAAATCCAAAAACTAATGAACACAAAAAACCATTGTAGCAGTACAAACTGAAGCAATCATTCTTAAAAGAGTATTATAACAAGAATGTGATAAAAAATCCTATTCATCTTGTAGCAAACACCAAAAAGAGCCATATAAATATCTCTTATAAAATGCTTCACCTACTATGCTTTTGATTTCTTCCCTTTTGTTGTTTCTTTGGTTGGAGGTGGGGCTTGGAAGGGCATAAACGTCTTTCCACCCATAAATGGCTGTAGTACTTCTGGTATTTCCACACCATCTTCCCTTTGGTAGTTCTCAAGAATGCAGCACATGGTCCTCTCTGTTGCTGTCAGTGTGGAATTCAATAGATGGCAGTATTGCTTCATTTGTTCATTGCTCTGCAATTTCAGCTCAAAAATTAACATTCCTCTTCATGAAATATTGGAAAATAACAATTAAGTTAGGCGAGTGAGAGAAACGTGGAAGTTTAGGGTTTTAGTCTGATATGGGTAGTTCAGTAATTCACTGTGTCCCATCTGCCTAATTTTGGTTCCGGGGTAGGCTAAATGCACACCTATTATTCGATTGCTAATTGCACACCTACCCATTAACATCATCCTCACACGTGTCAACATCTGTACACATTTTTTACATTTTCAATGTATGGTTTGAACTGATTTTGATGTAAATAGGTGTACATATAGCAACACCCTTCTGTTCCACCTCTTTTGATGGGACAAAAATATGCATTTATGTTCCACGCAGTTATGTCCAGTCCCAGTTTAATTGTTGCACCAAAAGTGAGACAACAAGTTTTTGTTATATCATATGTCCTGTCCTGCATATACACACACCCTAAACCCACATGTATGTTCCATAAGATGATCATGAAAGAAAACCAACCTTCTTTTGTCCAAATCTGATCTCCAATTTTCTTGATTGGTAATCTGTGCAGTTTGAACAAGACACAAGTTCTCTGTAAGTGCTGGATGCGGGAAACCATGCTTCCAAGTCGTACTTCTTTGCCGCAGCATCATTTAGCGCACCAGAAACTATAGACACTATATGATATGGCAATTTCAACTGCAGTACAAAATTCCATTATGATTTTAGACAAAAACTAAGAAAAATTACAAACAGAGCAAAACCAACGTCTCATTGTATGTAGGTTTGTATCAATGCAAATGCTAAAGCATGTCCTCACGTAGCATAAAACCAAGAAATCACTACACTTATAGGTGCATATGCATATATACACAGAAGGAATATTTGCTTGCTTGGGGTTTTAAAGTTCCCTATATAAAATTAAACTCTATTTTGAGGCTGAGCCAGAAGTAATCCCCATTACTATTAGGTGGTTCATTATGTAAGACTAAATATTAAATATTTAACATATGGGGAAAATTGCACCAAAATGGAACCAACTTTCACCTGATTACTATTATGGGGAACTAACTTTCAAAATTGCCATTTAGGGGGTCTCTATCAAACTTTTTGTTTATTTAAAGGTTTGGTTGATCTGTTGAACAGGTAACAGGTAATTTAAGGGTCTCTATCAAACCTTTGGTTTGATTTGCCAAATTTGATTTAAATTTTAATATTGATACGGATTGTTTAGATATAAAAATCTTGAATGTGATCTAATATTTATTTTTTATTGCATCAATTAATTTTTTTCTATTAAATTGATTTTTTTATTGCATTAGTAAAAAACAATTTTTATTGTGATAATTTGGATTTTTTTTGAAAAAATCTTCAATTTGATATCTGAATTTAAAAAAACGAGATTTGAAATGAAAAATAGATTTTATTGCATTAATTTTTTTAAAAACACGAATTTTAATTACTTTTCTAAATTATTTTGCAAGTTGGTTCAACAAATTAGGAATCAGGTGCAAGTTGGTTCCCTAAAATGACGATTTTGAAAATTGGTTCCCCAAAATAGGAATCAGGTGCAAGTTGGTTCCCCAAAATATGAATCAAGTGCAAGTTGGTTCCCCAAAATGACGATTTTGAAAATTGGTTCCCCAAAATAGGAATCAGGTGAAAGTTGGTTCCATTTTGGTGCAATTTTCCCTAACATATGCATCAAACAAGGAAGAAAGCATATAATTCATATAAAATAAGACAGTGATGAAATACTTACCATCTGATAGAATTCCTCTGAGTTTTTTATCATCTCCTCATGCATTTCCCAAGAATCATTGCCATTTGGGCTGGTAATGCAGAACTGATGAACACGGAAAATACCAAGAGTGTCTCGGCCATGTGAACCAGCCTCTTTACGGAAGCAAGACGAATATCCAGCATATCTGGCAAGTTTTCCAATATCAGTTGACCAAAAAGAGAATAGTATATATATA